GTACTACCTGGGTCTAGCCTAAGCTTCTAGTACTACCTGGGTCTAGCTATTCTAGTACTACCTGGGTCTAGCCAAAGCTTCTAGTACTACCTGGGTCTAGCCAAAGCTTCTAGTACTACCTGGGTCTAGCCATTCTAGTACTACCTGGGTCTAGCCAAAACTTCTAGTACTACCTGGGTCTAGCCAAAGCTTCTATACTACCTGGGTCTAGCCAAAGCTTCTAGTACTACCTGGGTTTAGCCAAAACTTCTAGTACCTGGGTCTAGCCAAAGCTTCTAGTACTACCTGGGTCTAGCCACTCTAGTACTACCTGGGTCTAGCCAAAGCTTCTAGTACTACCTGGGTCTAGCTATTCTAGTACTACCTGGGTCTAGCCAAAGCTTCTAGTACTACCTGGGTCTAGCCATTCTAGTACTACCTGGGTCTAGCCAAAACTTCTAGTACTACCTGGGTCTAGCCAAAGCTTCTAGTACTACCTGGGTCTAGCCATTCTAGTACTACCTGGGTCTAGCCAAAGCTTCTAGTACTACCTGGGTCTAGCCAAAGCTTCTAGTACTACATGGGTCTAGCCAAAGCTTCTAGTACTACCTGGGTCTAGCCATTCTAGTACTACCTGGGTCTAGCCAAAGCTTCTAGTACTACCTGGGTCTAGCTAATCTAGTACTACCTGGGTCTAGCCAAAGCTTCTAGTACTACCTGGGTGCAGCCAAAGCTTCTAGTACTACCTGGGTCTAGCCAAAGCTTCTAGTACTACCTGGGTCTAGCCAAAGCTTCTAGTACTACCTGGGTCTAGCCAAAGCTTCTAGTACTACCTGGGTCTAGCCAAAGCTTCTAGTACTACCTGGGTCTAGCCAAAGCTTCTAGTAACTGGGTCTAGCCAAAGCTTCCAGTACTACCTGGGTCTAGCCAAAGCTTCTAGTACTACCTGGGTCTAGCCAAAGCTTCTAGTAACTGGGTCTAGCCAAAGCTTCTAGTACTACCTGGGTCTAGCCAAAGCTTCTAGTACTACCTGGGTCTAGCCAAAGCTTCTAGTACTACCTGGGTCTAGCCAAAGCTTCTAGTACTACCTGGGTCTAGCCAAAGCTTCTAGTAACTGGGTCTAGCCAAAGCTTCCAGTACTACCTGGGTCTAGCCAAAGCTTCTAGTACTACCTGGGTCTAGCCAAAGCTTCTAGTACTACCTGGGTCTAGCCAAAGCTTCTAGTACTACCTGGGTCTAGCCATTCTAGTACTACCTGGGTGTAGCCAAAGCTTCTAGTACTACCTGGGTCTAGCCAAAGCTTCTAGTACTACCTGGGTCTAGCCAAAGCTTCTAGTACTACCTGGTCTAGCCAAAGCTTCTAGTAACTGGGTCTAGCCAAAGCTTCTAGTACTACCTGGTCTAGCCAAAGCTTCTAGTACTACCTGGGTCTAGCCAAAGCTTCTAGTACTACCTGGGTCTAGCCAAAGCTTCTAGTACTACCTGGGTCTAGCCATTCTAGTACTACCTGGGTGTAGCCAAAGCTTCTAGTACTACCTGGGTCTAGCCAAAGCTTCTAGTACTACCTGGGTCTAGCCAAAGCTTCTAGTACTACCTGGTCTAGCCAAAGCTTCTAGTACTCCCTGGGTCTAGCCGGCCCCACAAACACTCCATGTCGTTCACCTCTCAACAACGATCCTAGACCCAACACCGACCTCATTTCTGAGGTGAGCCGACACAACAAAAGGCACCACCCGTCTCATGTCACAAATCTTTTGATTACCGGAGTTGGCTACCCAACCCTACGATCGAACCCCGGCAGGGGGACGTGTAAACCTGTAATCGGGACGAGTGGGGGTGAGGAGGGGGTGGTAATGACACCCTCTCAGACGTAACATGATTACAGAACGTCAAACTCTAAGCCCCGACTAACCCGCCACTGAAATTACTTAACCCTAGCGAGGATTATAAACTTGTAATTTTTTTTTCTGCGCATCTCCTCTGAGCTTAACCAATCAAATTACGGTCGCGACGTGCAATGTCACGTGACAACCGGATCTTTTATTTCTACCGCCTTGACAACAAGACGCCCAGCTGGGTTCAAAAGAATGTTACAATCCTCTATCAACATTGGAGAAAATTTGATTCTTTAAATCCCGCAATTATCGGATTTTTCCGCAAAATACATTTCTGTTCACGTACTTTGGACAAACAGAAATTTGAGCCATATAAGTTTAAACTCTACATGTATAAACTCAATCTTTTCAAATTGTATTCCTTGGAATAAGAACAACACAGTAAGAATACATTTTGTTGTTTAGATCGGTGATTTAAAAATGAAGTCATTTTTTTTGTGTGTGTACTACATGCATCAGTTCGTTAAAAAAAGAAGACACTTTATTTTAGTGTAGCCTATTGTGTAAGTCTGTCCACCAACAGCGAAAAACAAATTGTGAAGAACTTTCAGGGATCTGACCAACTGCCCAACTCAGGATTCCAGACTCTACTCAACCCGTGGCTTTCGACAACATCTCCATCAAGGTACTCGGAACTACAATTCCTAACGACGAATCCAAACCATGACGCCAAACCATGACCCCAAATCACTCCAAACCTTGACTCAAAACCACATCTCTAAACGAAGTCCGCGACGCCTTAGAATCAACCACGCACACGAATAAACCCAACTGCTTTATTCATCATAAATAAATAAGTTTATGCTCGGGTAGTGTTTCGACAAAAAGTCATCGCACTCGCAACAAGCAAGAGATTACTGTTTGTTTTTTTTTTTTTTTTTTTTTTTTTTTTTTTTTTTTTCATTCTCAACAATTTCCAACATCCCAAAAACTGCCATTAAATTTGTGCTATTGAACAACCCATTGAAAACTCCCCCAATTTCGACACGCAAAATTAAATGACCAAGATCTCCATGGTATGACGTCGTATTGTCGATACCGTTCCTTGACACGGTAGCCGAGGTAGACTGCCAATTTTCTCAGAATAGTCGTGTGAAGAGTTTATAAAAACGGCTCTGTGAATGCACAAATGGTATAATTATCTGTTCAGACAAGCAGTTCATACACATCAAATGTTCAAATAGTCATCTGGATATTAATCTGTTGGTACACGACTGTTCAAACAATCAGAACAGATGTTCAAGTTTAAATTACTGTTATCATTATCTACTTCAGATGTGTCTATTGTATTATCATAACAGAAGACGCGATTAGTTGTTTTTTTTTTGTTTAAATAGACAACGTCTTACATCTAAGAAAACTATTATTTTAATAGACAAGTGATATCTAAAAACAGTTGTTTGAATAGACAATTTCTTATATCTAAAAAGACAAGTGCTTTAATAGACAACGTCTTACATCTAAAAAAAACACACATAAACAACAATTGTTTTAATAGACAACGGCCAACGTCTCCAAACAATCGTGTTAATAGACAGCCAGACAAAGGTTGACGTCAACCCGCTAATGCCACGACGCGGAGAGCGGCAGACCTGTCTGAATGTCAGCGTGGATCCATTCTCGTCTGCCTGCCGTCTGCTCGACAGCACGGTGACCCAGATAACATGTAAATCAATGTTAAGTCGCACTCCATTAAGCGTGACACATGGCAGACGATACACTTGTCGTCCCGCCATTTTTTCCCCCCAGCGCGCCAATCACTCCCCGGCTCTTGAAGGAAAACAATCGTGGCAAGCGCACCGGCACTTGAACCTAAGCCGGCTCGTTACGACCGGCACCGGCTCCCGGCACTCTGTCATGTCCAAATGCGTGTACAGATTCGGCATCGACCGGTTTTTTTTATGGTCGATACTCGACTGTTCAGGTTGTCAAGGGTTGTATTCTGGTTGCCACTTGAAGCTTAGAGGAAGAATTGGTGCGGGATGGTTTATGAAAATGACGTGATTGTCACGATGATTGTGTGTGACAGAAGTCAATGTTGATTGCTCGTGATCTAGACACGTGACACCAAGACGAAGTGATTCTGGGTATTGCAGGAGGCGTGGGTGGTTTGTGACGTAATAAGCAAGTTATTTCCTAATGTCACGGTGATCTTTTTTTAGCAACCGGAAGTCACATGACTCGAAATTCTACAGGTGGTGCGGACCCATTTACTAGCTCCTAGTTGGGATTAGAACTGGGGTTAGCACAGTTGACCCAAATCTATTACATGTCTGTAAACTTAAGAGCTGTATTCCAAGTTTCACTTATTTAATTTTTTTATATCTTAAATCTTCTTAACATGTTAACTTTCTTTAATCACAATTCTGTAGGCCACACTTGTAAACTTGACATTAACTCCAAAAGCTTCGTTAACTTCCCTTTACTTTGTTAATTCGTTAACCGAGTGCTTTGAAAATAACTGTTAACTTTTTGTTAACCTTAATGTATGTATCAGGGGACGGTGTGATGGGCATGGTGTGGTAGGAACGTTGTAGTCTAACTTTCTCAGGACTCCAGTTCGATTCCTGATTTTGAGATGATGGCTGAGTCCCCTCAGTTTTAATAGGTACCTAGCTCGAAAGTGAAACTTCTGCCCACTAGATTCTATGTACACGCTATACTTCATCTGCACACTCACGTTGTACATGTTTTGGTACTTTGGAAACTACTATTTAGTTTTAACTGTGAATTGTCTACACGTACAATGCTTCCTTTTTTATCTGATTTTATAATACTGTACCGGGTTACATAGTACGTATCGATTAGATAATCTTATACCCTGTAATCATCACATCATAAATAATCCTGGCATCGCTCTTCCACATCTCAACATACCCGCATGCATCGATTTTGTTCGATGCTGATAGCCCTGTTTAGCCGGGGTTGAATCCCTACAGTGCTAGGGACTTTAACACTTGTACCAAGTGGCCTGAGGATAACAGACCAGTCAATGAGTTCTTATCCTGTAAGGACAATCGTCGTATCTGTTGCTAGAACAGATGCAGTAGACTGGTGCACAATATTTTAACAGTTATTGCTAAACTTAAATACATCCCTTAAAATAACAACAAAAAAGAGTTATATAAAATCTTAAAATGGCATTTTATTCAATTTGATCAAAGTAAGAAAATGTTTCACTTGCAGTCAAGAAGGTAACAACGATATCAACAAAACTACTGTACAAATGTGCACACACCTACACTTTAGCAGTTTAAAAATCACGCTGGCTAAAAGATAACTCTTACACAGGGGCACATAATTGCCCAAGGGTAGACAACTGCTATAGACATAATATTTTACAAAGATGTAGCAGGTTGCTAGCATTCAATAGGTATGTGTGTTCACTTGACTACACATCACATATGTTCACCAACACACCCAGTGTGTTCATAGATGATAACATACTAAGTTCATGTAATTAAATGATCAATTAATTAACCCCCCAAGAACCATAACACCAATATACAAATAACTAAAAAATTCACACGAAATGCTTTGTCATTTCAATGTATTATATATATAGTCCAGTGTGTAATTTCATTTCTACAACAATGTAGTGGCTTACATGTAATCATGTTCGAATAGGCTGAAATTCATGACATCTTGTAGATTACAGGGTGGTTATGTAAGTTGGTCAGAGAGAGAGAGAGAGAGAGAGAGAGAGAGAGAGGGATAGATAGGCAGGAAGAGAGAATTGGATAAAGCTTGGAAAAAAGTATCACAAAAAATTGTCTTTGATAATTCACATACAAAAACCTCACTGCACTTGACGGTGCGTAATGCACTCATAATGCAATTACTCACTCCAGTGAAACTCAAACAAAGCACACACACTCACCATTCACACAATGTTCTTTGAACACACAGGCAACACACCTTGAAACAACACACAACTCATCTGGATGTAAATAAATACAAAAATTCTTGAACACCAAGGGGCTACCACATCAACATGTCCCTTTCTTGTGTTGCATCTCAGATCAACTTCATTACAAATAATTGTATACACTCCAAATGCATAGGATATATAAATATATAAAGTTATCGAAGTTAATACTAAAATGTTTGTTCTGGAACAATTTGTTCAAAGATCACATGAAGAAGAGTGGTGGCACCCTACATTAATTGTCATGGCACTACAGCCGCGCCTAGTCTTTGGCCGTAGAGAGTGTAGGGGGAGTAGTAGGGACCTACGGGGAAGCTTTGGGCGCTCGGGGGGGTGGCGCCGACAGCAGAGAGGGGGGACTTGTAGGGGTGGTATCTGTTGGCACTGAGGAGACTGGAGACTGGGCTGAGGCTGGTGGGGTAGGACCTTCGGAGGGAGTTGGGGCTCAGGGGCGCCGAGAGGTGGGGGTACGCCGCCAGTGAGGGGAGCCCCAGCCCGGCGTAGGAGGCTGCCAGGGTGGACACGTCCATGGAGGAGGTGTGGGTCCGGAGGTGCTGGAGGAGTTCTTCAGAGGAGGTGAAGCGCTTGCCGCAGTAGTCGTTGCCTGAGACCCAGTTGCAGACGTTGGCTTGTAGGCCCTGGTGGGCGGCGGCCAGTGCCGTGTGGGGGTAGAGGGCGTGGATGGATGAGAGTGCGGACATGGAACTTGAGAGGGAGCTGGCGGAGGAGAGGGGGGATAAGAGCATGGACGACGCCCCTGCGCCTGGAAGACCAAGAGTGGAGAGACTGGTTAAGGATTTTTCGTGGGCGCATTGGGAGCAGCCAGGGGCGTTGCATGTGGAGGAGAGGTGCGAGTTCTGCAGGGTCAGCTGGCAGTTTGTGCAGTAGGGATCTCGGCAGACCGGAACTAGAGTCGTGGCACCGGAGGGTGTTCGGACTCTGGCGTAGGTGACGAAGGGGGATAATGCTGACGGGGCGCCGGCGGCGGCCGCAGCTTTCAGCGCCGAGGATTGGGCGGCGGCCGCAGCGGCGGAGAAACTGGACAGGCTGGAATGGGCCGCCAGGGCGTGGTAGCTGGGGTTGGTCGGGTCCAGGCCGTGAGCCATCAGAGCCAAGTGGCTCGGGTATCCGGAGAGGTGGGCCGCGGATGGAAGACCTCCAAGCATGGATGGGTGAGAGACGGAGGGCTTGACCGCACTGCTGAGGGAGGAAGATTGCATCACAGATGTGGAGTGGGAGCTCATTGGCTTGGAGTAGGAAGGGGAGGAGCTGACGGGGTGGGAGGATGACCCGGATGACGCGGGTGAGTCACGGTTTCTATGGTGATGGTGACTGCTATGCTGGTGATGGTCACTCTCCTTCCCGTTGCTGCTTCTAGAGCTTGACCTTTGACCGTTACTGCCTTGACCGCTGGCAGAAACAGGCCTGGATGAGGAACTAGAACTGATGGAATTCATATGCCCAGATGGAGAACTTGAAGCTTTAGGTTCTGAACTTGACGTCCTGGGTTTCTCTCCCATGGATATGGGCACTAAAGGAGGAATCTCTTTTGGAGGAAATGTTCTGAAGCCGGGCTTGGAATCTCTGCCGGAATCTCTACCAGATTCTTTGTGTCCGTGAGAACTGGGCCTCTTGCTGGAAGATTCGGAGTCCTGGCATTTGTCAGATTTATCCATGTCTTTCTTCTCCAGTGGGGGTATGATAGGTTTAGATGGGGAGGTGTCTTTACCGATGGCACTGCACGTCTGGGCTAACAGAGCCAGGGGGCTTTTCTTGGCATCCAACTGAAAAATAAATTAATAAAACTAATTAGCAAAATTAATTAGTAAAAAGTATAATTTCAATATTGCAATAGGAAGTGGAGTAAAAATATCACGATCATTAAAACAGGTTTAGAAAAAAAATCTAATTCTTTATCTATGGATATCTACGAAAACACTTCAAGGCTTGTATAGTAAGTACAGAAATAAATAGGGCTAGTGATATGTCAAGATAGGCCTTGATAACTACAACAGACGTCATGTCGGTTCTGCCCGCTAACATAGACCCCAGGGTGGAAGGGGGGGGGCGATAAACATGCCAAAGAAATAATGGTGCCCGGGTAAATAATTCCGTCAGTCAGCGATTACTTGCAGATTAAATAAATAACCCTAACCCTAAGCACGGCGCGACACGACCCCAGGGGGACAAGTCCATAGAATATCCGTACCTAAAGTTTGGCCGTGTTTTGCTTGTAATTTGGGCGGATGGCACAAAAACAGTGGCATTAACATTTCCAGATAAAAAATACCAGGTCTTTGACTAGGGTAACATATCTTCTACATGAGGCTAATGTGGCGTCTAGGTGAGGCCTGGGTACTAATTAAATCAGATGGGTTCTAACTGTCAAACAGCCTAGTCATACGGAGGATAAAACATTGAATCTTTGAACTGTTGGACTTAACTTAGCCTGATCCCTGAATGCTCGCTAGGTAGCCTACTAAAACTTCATGGGTAGAACAGATTTGAGGGACAAAGACGAACATATGAAAAAACTATACGAATATAATGGCTGTAAAGTCTAGGACGTAGGATGTCAAGTTCACTGCGTGTGATGTAAAGATTAGGGCGTCAGAACTAGACCTTACGTCTAAAGAATATTGTCAGGTTTATGTCACATTTATTGTGTATGAAATGACATTTAGGGCGCAGGAAGTTAAATACAATGAAGGACATGGGTAGTTAAGACGAAGACATACAACTTCCTGAACACTTAAATTAATGTTGTGTGTAAATACAGATACTACAAGTGTTTTGGTGTAGAGTTACTTCGCTACGAGGGTAACGATGACAATATAAACTAAGATGCTTGGCTTCTAATAAAGGTTACTGCTGTAGGATTTTGAGGGATAGTGACAGGCTGTAAAGTATACGTCAGATGAAATCAGGCTGTCTATAGGAGCGTTAGAAGCTACTCAGATAGAGGCTGTTCTGGTAGAAATGGTCAGGTAGAGGCTGTTCAGGGCCTGCTACAGAAGCCGTACATAACGGCTTAGAGAACAACACAAGCGGTTTAAAAAGCCGTTAGAAGCTGACGCTATTGCTGTCGTTCCGCGGTCGTAATCTCCCGACAACACGAGCCTGACAGAAACAGACGACACGACGCTGGGGGGGGGGGGGGAGCAGACGGCACGTAAACAGACCCGGACAGGAGAGTCAATACGAGTTTTGGTACCGGTTGGGGCGAGGGGAGGGAGGAGCGGATCAATAGAATGGTCAGCGCATAACACATGCAGGCTGAACTTGACGCTTCATGGGCACGGGTCGATGTAATGCCCTCCCCCGCCCGCCCCACCTAGCTGTGTTATACGGGGTTTGTGATGGTGACACCAAAGTATGGCTCAAACGGTTGTTTTACAATACATTTTTACTGCAACCAAAAGACATTTTGGTGTCAGAATCGGGGATTCGACAAACTAAACCTAAATACGAGCCTACAATGAGGTACTAGCCCAACCAACATTGACTACACTAAACCCATAGCTAACGCTAACCCAGAGCCTACCCAACGCTAACCCATGAGCCAACACTAACCCAGAGCCTACCCAACGCTAACACACACCACCAAGAACGGACCACACATGACGCCCAGACATCACGTGATCAGACGACCGCTGCACATGCCCAACACTGGACATCTGTTTGGCCTAACACAGCAAGCGTTCATTGATCGCCAAACTGACCACGTCGGAATACGAATACTAAATTTCATTTCTGGCCGCGTAGACAGCCTACACTGAACGACTTACAATCTGACTCCGTGAATAGTATAGCCTTTCTGTGTCTGCCCTAGCCTAGCCCATTATTCCCCACCCTAAACTAAGCTTAAAACTAGGGGAAAAAATGAAAAAAAAAAAAAAGGCCATTGATTTGCTTCACACAAAAGCTGAAAACGCATGTTACATGGTGTTATCCAATAATATCCATGTTTTGAGAGGCTTATCCAATAGTCCCATTACAATGGCAAAGCTGTTTCACCATCACGACAGTCATACATTACATACATACGTACACCAAATAAATAGACATCTGTTGTAACTAGTGTTGGGTGGGGGGGGGGTAATCTACCTAAGTTAATGCACATAAATAAAATCAACAACGAAAAAAACAACAAAGGAACAAGTTGGGTCAAATATTGACGAAGTTTGAAGTAGCAGAACTTGTATAGAGCCAGTCACGTCATATAGAACGCCCGTAACAAAGCCAGCTAGATTCTGGATCTAGTGTTATTCAAGGCTACACTATTCTGAATGGTGTGTTAACTTTTGCTTAAGCTAGTTGTATAATCTGTAGGCTAGCTGTATAATCTGTAGGTAAAATGTATAATAATCTCTAGGCTAGCTATATAATCTGTAGGCTTGATGTATAATTTATAGGCTATCTGTATACTAAAGATTGCTGCAAGTAGTCTGGAGTAAAAAAATAGTTGACCAAACTTTAATTCTAGGCCTACATTCTAGATCTAGATCCAGGCCAATGTAAAAAAAAAATGCCGAAGCTGTTCCGCCTTGACTTAGTAGAACAGACACTTAGATCTAGAGAAATCTACATTCTAGGACATTTTTTTCTCAAATATGTTACTGGTTGTAGAACGATAAGGGGCAGTCGTGCTATCTTAGCGGTCGTTCGTAAAGCGGGAGGTGGCATGAAGAAGGGGGAAGTGTAAAACCAAATGCCCAACTAGGTCTATATGAAGATCTAGATCTACTAGACTTGTATCTAAACTAGCAGATAGCCTAGATCTAGGCAAATAATATAAGTGTATGCTAAATAATTACTTATACCAAAAAATTAAGTTGTGTAACAAAAAATCTGATTTTAATGAATTAACCAACACAAAAAACTTGTACATTACATGAGTGATATTAAATTAAGAGCTAAAAAAATGATTTTACAAATCTTTCTTAGTCATTTTTTTTTAAATTTGAATTTAAAATATTACAAGTTATATCATTTATAATACATCTAAAATTATTTTTTCTCCAACCTAACCAGATAGCCTATGTCCAACTACTGACTTACTACATCTAGATCTAGACTAGATTCTAGATTTACACGTGTGTGTTTGGCAAGTTGAGTCAACTCACTAACTGCCTCAGCGGACAGTGGCTACTCACCGTTGTGGGCAGTGGCTGGAGGTAATCCGGGTGTAGGTACTGGCTCACACCCGAGGTCAGCATGGTCAATCCAGACGATGATGACGTCATTCTCCCAAAATAATACGAGCTTGGTATATCCAATGTAAATCCTCACCAGAAAATGGGAGTTCTAGGGGATGTGAATTTTTTTTTATATCCGACAGGAATTCAGAAAATTCTGAAGTTCGATTACAATCACAAACTTATACAAAGATATTTCCAATTAGTGATATAAAGACTGCAATAATCCAGAAGAATCAATCCATTTTTATCGATAAATATCCAGAGGAAAAACTGCAGGAACAATTTTTCGTTTCGAATGGTTTCTCAAACTATCCAACTCCACAGAGAACACGGTGCGTCTCGTGAAAGCCTCGCTATTCAACTAACTCGTTCGCGGCGTGCTGGTCCGTTTTGTGTGTTCCCCGTTCTCGTAGCCCCGAGGTGATGACTGCATAACGCAATGAACAACCTCTCGCGGCAACTGTCAATCACGGCCCTCGCCCTCGCTCGCCGCTGCGCAAAGCTGTGGTGAATAAAGCCACCCTCGTCGACAACACGCGGAACACAAGACGACAACAGCATAGATTTTTGTATGGGACCACGCTAAAGAAGAAGAGGGCAAGGGAAGGGGGGTGTAAAAGAGAGGGGGGAAGGGGGTAGCGGAGTATTCCCGGTCTAGCCAATGAAAGAGCAAATTACACGATTCCGCTGAACGCGATTGGTTGGTTGTCTAGCCCGTGACGTCTGAGGGTGATAAAAATGGCGGGGTCGTGATTGACGGGAGCTGAAGTTGGGCCGGGCCAATGAGAAGTCGACAAGGTAATTATCTGGCAGTCATCCAACCGTCACCTCTCGGGCCGGCAATCAATCACCCGGCCGGCGCGGCTGTCCATCACGCGTGATTTATGCGGAGCGGCGTTTCTAATGTGTACTCCGTGAAAAGGCAGGGGAAAGCAGACGAGAGGAGCAGGGGTCTGGGAGAGCGGGCCGTTAAAAGACTATTTGACGGAGTGATTTAGGTTCTCCTGACGGTGTGAGCAACCCCAGCCCGGGCGCGGGCAGACGTCAAGACCGGACATGTAAAACAGAGCGTGTGTCAAACGGTGATAGAGTTACGGCCGTGTTGGTCAAAGTCCGCTGTTGTTGGAGATTGAAGAACGACTTGTGTGTTTGGAGGAGTTGGCTTAGGCTTTGAATGGCTTGAACACACGGGGGTATTTAGCGGTGAAGATGTGCTGTAGTAAATAATTGGGTGCATTGGTTGCTGTGGTTTGATTGGATGGTGATAGTGGTTGTGGTGGTAGTTAATGGTGAGACGGTGGTGTAACTATATGGTGAGACAGTGGTGATACTAGATGGTGAGACAGTGGTGTTACTAGATGGTGAGACACTGGTGTTACTAGATGGTGAGACAGTGGTGTGTTATATGGTGATACTGGTGTTACTAGATGGGGAGACAGTGGTGTTACTAGATGGTGAGACGGTGTTGTCACGAGCTGGTGATACAGTGTTGTCACTAGATGGTGAGACCGTGGTGTAACAAGCCGGTGAGACACTTCTAAAACTATTTGTAAATTCAGTTAGAAATCTTGCAAACTAACACACCAATACCAACACTCAAAACATTTACACACCAACACAAATAACACCACACTCCAACACCAATAAACCAACACAGCACCACCAACACCAAAACACCTATTCTAAAGCACCGACACTTACACATCATCCCTAAGCCTTAAACAACAACACCAATACAATAACCGCTACACACTTACAATCACATCAACACCAACACAACAAGGCAAACACCAAACGCGAACACACCAACATCAACACACCAAAGAAGCAACTCACCACCACCAAAACATGAGAAACTACTTTGTGAGAGACCAACTATTCTGTGAGAGACCAATTACTTTGTGAGAGACCAACTACTTTGTGAGAGACCAACTACTTTGTGAGAGACCAACTACTTTGTGAGAGACCAACTATTCTGTGAGAGACCAACTACTTTGTGAGAGACCAACTACTTTGTGAGAGACCAACTACTTTGTGAGAGACCAACTACTTTGAGACAGACCAACTACTTTGTGAGAGACCAACTACTTTGTGAGAGACCAACTACTGTGAGAGACCAACTACTTTGTGAGAGACCAACTACTTTGTGAGAGACCAACTACTTTGTGAGAGACCAACTACTTTGAGAGAGACCAACTACTTTGTGAGAGACTACTTTGTGAGAGACCAACTACTTTGTGAGAGACTACTTTGTGAGAGACCAACTATTCTGTGAGAGACCAACTACTTTGTGAGAGACCAACTACTTTGTGAGAGACCAACTACTTTGTGAGAGACCAACTACTTTGTGAGAGACCAACTATTCTGTGAGAGACCAACTACTTTGTGAGAGACCAACTACTTTGAGAGAGACCAGCTACTTTGTGTGAGACCAACTACTTTGTGAGAGACTACTTTGTGAGAGACCAACTACTTTGTGAGAGACCAACTACTTTGTGAGAGACCAACTACTTCGAGAGAGACCAACTACTTTGTGAGAGACCAACTACTTTGAGAGAGACCAACTACTTTGTGAGAGACCAACTACTTTGAGAGAGACCAACTACTTTGTGAGAGACTACTCTGTGAGAGACCAACTACTTTATGAGAGACTACTTTGTGAGAGACCAACTACTTTGAGAGAGACCAACTATTTTGTGAGAGACTACTTTGAGAGAGAGACCAACTATTGTGTGAGAGACCAACTACTTTGTGAAAGACTACTTTGAGAGAGAGCAACTACTTTGTGAGAGACCAACTACTTTGAGAAAGACTACTTTGTGAGAGACCAACTACTTTGTGAGAGACCAACTACTTTGAGAGTGACCAACTACTTTGTGAGAGACTACTTTGTGAGAGACCAACTACTTTGAGAGAGACCAACTACTTTGTGAGAGACCAACTACTTTGTGAGAGACCAACTACTTTGAGAGAGACCAACTACTTTGAGAGAGACCAACTACTTTGTGAGAGACCAACTACTTTGAGAGAGAGCAACTACTTTGTGAGAGACCAACTACTTTGTGAGAGACTACTTTGTGAGAGACCAACTACTTTGTGAGAGACCAACTACTTTGAGAGAGACCAACTACTTTGAGAGAGACCAACTACTTTGTGAGAGACCAACTACTTTGAGAGAGAGCAACTACTTTGTGAGAGACCAACTACTTTGTGAGAGACTACTTTGTGAGAGACCAACGACTTTGTGAGAGACCAACTACTTTGTGAGAGACCAACTACTTTGTGAGAGACCAACTACTTTGAGAGAGACCAACTACTTTGAGAGAGATCAACTACTTTGTGAGAGACCAACTACTTTGAGAGAGAGCAACTACTTTGAGAGAGAGCAACTACTTTGAGAGAGACCAACTACTTTGAGAGAGACCAACTACTTTGTGAGAGACCAACTACTTTTACAGAGACCAACTATTCTGTGAGAGAAAGCAACTACTTTGTGAGAGACCAACTACTTTGTGAGAGACCAACTACTTTGTGAGAGACCAACTACTTTGTGAGAGACCAACTACTTTTACAGAGACCAACTATTCTGTGAGAGAAAGCAACTACTTTGTGAGAGACCAACTACTTTGTGAGAGACCAACTACTTTGAGAGAGACCAACTACTTTGTGAGAGACCAACTACTTCGAGAGAGACCAACTACTTTGAGAGAGAGAGAGCAACTACTTTGTGAGAGACCAACTACTTTGAGAGAGACCAACTACTTTGGAACCAACTAACGTTGGAGCTTTCTGATTCACTGATCTAGCACAACATAGAAATAACTTTAAACCTGTGGTCAGAATAATTAGGTTAGTCCTGATTGATACGTGGTCATTTAAAAATACACACTCAAAAACATCCTTTCAGAGGTTCTTGTTTAAAGTATTCCTTGTGGTCATTTAAAAATACACACTCAAAAACATCCTTTCATGGGTTCTTGCTTAACTTATTCCTTGTGGTCATTTAAAAATACACACTCAAAAACATCCTTTCAGAGGTTCTTGCTTAAATTATTCCTTAGACATATAACATGAACAACATTTATGTTGACTACAAGCCCATTTAATTATATAACATGTACATAACCTACATTTCTATTGTAAATATTTAGCATCTGAATGACTGTATAAATTCCAACCCCCCCCCCCCCCCCCACCATAAACACACGCTATAACGTTTACGCGGTCTTTACAACACAAATAAATCTTGGAATAAAAATTATAAGGGAAACCTCCATCATTAACCTTTACAGCCTACCCCAAAATACATCTTTGTTACAACTCCAGTTCCATACCTCAGACAAACAGTCCCCCCCCCCCCACACATCTCCACACCAACATCCACAACAGCATTCCACACAATTCCCCACACACATCTTCACACCAACATCCACCACACCACTTCACACACAACAGTCCCCCCTCCCACACACACATCTTCACACCAACATCCACCACACCACTTCACAACAATTCCCCAACCACCATCTTTTCTACAACATCCAATCACGCCTTCACAAAACCAGTGGTTCTTAACCATTTTCGATATACGCAACACCACCAGTTTTTTATGCACATTCACCGAACCCTTCTTAATAGTTCTATAGTCCGCAGTGACAAAATATGATTGTGAATCATATGAGTCGGGTATGTGTGACATCAACCGAGCCCCTGAAACTGACTTACCGAACCCATGGGGTTCAACCAAACTAGGTACTAAACCACTGACTTCGACAGTTTTACATCTGCATCAATTTTATTTTACAGCCCACCATCGACTTGACCAACGAATGTTCAATCTATTTCATTTTCCGCAACAGACTACCAAAATTTATGGACAGACTCGGTCTAACTTTAACACCAACTTCAAGCTTATTTCCCTATCTCAGCTTATTTCAATATGAATTGTGTTCCTGTATTTTCATACTCCCAGTATCCGTATTTTCGTGTCACTAACAAGGACGTCTTTAATATTTAAATTAGAATTAGCATAGCCCCCACCTTCGTTTCCTTAGTTCGTCCGTTTCCTGCAATTTCACACTACAATTCTTCTTTAGTACCTGGCTATAAAAACGACCAGCAAAAACTTGGATATTTTTACACTTGGCCGACAAATTCAGCGCTTCCCTGGCCACCGAGAGTGACAATAAAACGCGAGTGATTTCCCTTTGGCCGGAAAAGCCTTTGAATGGTCGTGAAAGCGAGTGCCGCGACCTTAGAACAAGTGGTTCTATGTGTTTGGCGAGTAAGTGCTAATCTTGGTTGCCGGTTCGCCGGAAAATGCCGGCTGGGGAATTTCTTTTAACGCCGTGTTGTTGGGGTGGCACCGGCAGTCAATTAGACGCTTTACGGCCAGACGTGTGATGCCAGACACGGATGTTGTACCAATGGCCTCCGTCGTGACAAGTCGGAAGAGATTTATGACGTCGCAGCTTCTCTG